GAACTCTTTGCATGATTGAAGGGTTCTTTGCATCGAGAAAGGGTTCTTCAGACTGATTGAAAATCTGTTGTGTATGGTTCTATATATATAACCTTTTTAAAAAAAGGATCTATATAGCACCAAAAAGGATTCTTCCATTATGATGTCGGGGTTTTTAAGAATAGAAGAACGCTTTTTGGTGCTATATAGAACCCTTTTCAAAATGGTTCTACATAGAACCATCTAAAGCACATTCTGCATTAATCTGAAGAACCCTTTAACGATGCAAAAAAAAACATTTAATCATGCAAAGGGTTCTTTGAGTGTTCATGGTACAAAAAAGAGCCACTTTCTTTACTAAAGAAACCTTAAAGAACCATTTTAGCTGTGTACTACAAAGAACGCAGTTTGTCAGAAATGCAAATGTGGAGAACGAAAGCTAGAAATGGCAGGTAGAAATAAATTAAAATTAAAGTAATTAATAGGGCTAATAATGAAAGTTAGCCCGAGCCAGTCAGTGTTATCTCCTGCTAGCTAGAATACTAAATGAGCAACCAGCGCTATCTAGCACTACTAGTTTTCATTATCTATCAATTGTATTAACATTTTTGTTGCAAGCTTAAAATAGACTTTAGGTTCTAATCAGTAATAATTACTGATCTAATAACTACTAATCACTTTACATCTTCACCTTTTGGAGGTCTTCAGAGGTAAACGCTGACCCAAACGGGCAGCTGTTCTGAGAGATAATGAGCTCCAAGTGTCTGAAACGTGCAACTGCATGCCGGTACAATGAATGAGATAATCTAATTAGCTATATAATATGACCTACAATACGCATTATACATGCATCTCAGCTCCCTGAGGGGCACAGTGAGAACGCGCAGATGAAGTATAGGCTGGTCTGATATGAATGACTCACTGCTATCTGAGAGAAATACAGATCTGAGCCGTGGAATGTTATTCAGCTCCAGCGTCGCTGACGTTTGCTGTCGGGGGCATTGAGTTTATAAGCCTGTAAAAGAATGATCTCATCAAAGCTGAAGCTAATTGGTGGGATGCTATTTCCAGCAAAGGGGGGGGGGTGGAGAGACGGACCCCGCCCTTCAAAGCTGCTTTAGTGAGAGATGTCCTCAACACTATCCCCAATGCCCTTTTAGTCTGGAGCCAACCCTCAGTTTAAACTGTCTGTTCTCTCTCTCTTTATCTCTCTCTCTCTCTCGCTCTGTCTCTCTGATTCTCATTTCAATTCAACTGAACTCAGTTAGCCTTACTGGCATAAATTTATTTATTTACCATATTTATGAAATCACAGTACAAACTCAGTGGACGTAGCCTGGTCGTACAGACCGGCCGCTATGAGAAGTCACAGTACAGAGTCAGTGGACAAAGCCTGGCCTTACAGGCTGGACGCTATGAGAAGTCATAGTACAGACTCAGTGGACACAGCCTGGCTGTATGACTATATGAAGTCACAGGACAGACTCAGTGAACGCAGTCTGGACATACAGACCGGCCTCTATAAGAAGTCACAGTACAGACTCAGTGGACAAAGCCTGGCCTTACAGGCTGGATGCTATGAGAAGGACAAAGCCTGGATGTACAGACCGGCCTCTATAAGAAGTCACAGTACAGACTCAGTGGACAAAGCCTGGATGTACAGACTGGCCTCTATAAGAAGTCACAGTACAGACTCAGTGGACAAAGCCTGGATGTACAGAGCGGCCTCTATAAGAAGTCACAGTACAGACTCAGTGGACAAAGCCTGGATGTACAGACTGGCCTCTATAAGAAGTCACAGTACAGACTCAGTGGACAAAGCCTGGATGTACAGACCGGCCTCTATAAGAAGTCACAGTACAGACTCTGTGAACGCAGCCTGGCCTTACAGGCTGGACACTATAAGAAGTCACAGTACAGTGAATGCATAAGATGTCACAGTAAAACTAATACTAACAAAAAACAAAAGAGAAAATGATAAACAATGTCGAAGAATCTATCGTAAGCTTGGCGCCGTCTATGACTCACTGAAAAAGAGGAAAACCTAAACGTCTGGAGTTTTAATCACTGACGACGTCTGTGATTAATGCCGCCGCCGCTGAACAAGCTCCTCAGCAAACAAAACAGCGCAGCTAAGGCCACAGTCAGGACTAATGGAGGCTAAATAACCACAATAACGTATTAGTGTTCTAGATAACATCAGCGCTGTTTACAATTCACTGCCCCCCACCGCACCTACGGTAATAGAAAAATATTTAAGCCTGTTGTTTAGAGGAAGTGAGTCTTATCACGGTTACTCAGAGCCTCCATTACTGCTGCAGCAATTAAACTACTGCAGAGAGAGAGAGAGTGGGAGAGGGAGAGACAGAGAGAGAGAAACAGAGTTAGCCTTATCCAAACATTAAACACATCACCAAAAACAGTACAGTAGAGTGATTATCTGGAACATTGGGAAGAAAAAATTCAGAATAAGCTGGAACACGATCAGGCCCTAAAAACAGAGCAGAGTCGGATCCTGACCAAGTACAGACTCAGTGACCACACTGTGATCAGACAGAGATGCAGAGATGCACTTTCTTCTTCACTGTGGAAAATTCAAACAGACAAGGGAAATGTACACAAACACATTTAGAAAGCTGATCCCAAACTTTAAAAATTGTATACAAATTGAAAAATTACGAAAAGGCCTTGGAGACTGTCACACAGCCCCCCTCGCTGCTGAATGTGGAACAACATGTCACCGTCTGAGAGACCGTGGGTAACACCACCCCCATACCCCCACCCTCTCTATATCCCCACCCCACAAACCCCCAACCCTTCTGACCTCCACCCTACATACCCACATCCTTCTGACCTCCACCCTCCATACCCACATCCCTCTCACCCCCACTCTCCATACCCCCATCCTACTGACCTCCACCCTCTCTATATCCCCACCCCACATGCCCCAATCCTACTGACCTCCACCCTCTATACCCCATCCTACTGACCTCCACCTTCTATATCCCCACCCCACATACCCCCACCCTTCTGACCTCCACCCTCCGTACCCACATCCCTCTCACCCCCACCCTACTGACCTCCACCCTTTATACCCCCATCCTACCTGTATCCCCACCCTTCTGACCGCAGCCCCACATTCCCCCAAGACTGCACACACATACAAATAAAAAAATTAAAAATGATAAAATAAATGATTCCATTATTTGTATTATTTTAATATCGTCAACATGTTGTTATTATTGTTATTATTTCATTTACTATTATGTGTTAATGTTGTTATCATTGTTGTCATTGTTAAAAACCTGAGACAACCAGAGAGAGACAGAGAGAGAGACAGAGAAAGAGACACAGAGAGAGAGACAGAGAGAGAGAGAGAGAGAAAAGAGAAAGAGAAAGGCAGAGAAAGAAAAGAGAGACAGAAAAAGAGGGAGAGAGAGAGTGAGAGAGAGAGAGAGAGAGAGGGGAAAAAGGGAGAAGGAAACAGGAGATGGCAGAGGAGAACCTGCTGCTCATTCACACCAGCCAGCTCTATTTTTTCCTCATTCATATTAATACACACACTGAGTCCATACAGCTGAGGAAGTAAGAGAGGCATGATAAATGAGAGAGAGAGAGAGAGAGAGAGAGAGAGAGAGAGACAGAGTATAAACACAGCAGGAAAAATAAAGATAGAGAACATAGACGAGCCCAAAGCAATATAAAAAATAAAGAAATGAATGATATGAATAAGAATAAAGGAAAAAGAGAGATACAGAATGAAAGTAAGGGTGACCTGAGAGGAGGACAGTGAAAAAAGAGTTACGGTATCTGCAGCTTGGATGGTTTTGTAGTTGGAAGGTGAAATGAGACAGTAAAGTCCTCTGGCTTTCTCATTAAACATCAGCTATAAAGACAACAAAGATGAGCCAGTAATCAGATTTCTCAGTCTGCGCATGAGCAAAAACAGACTGTGGCACCAGAAATAAACAAGCAGTGTTGCAGTGAGACGACAGCAAAACACTTTAAGTGCAATGCTAAAACTGACCACATGCTTGATGAAACGAAGGGTTTAAATATTCTTCATCCTCTAGATGATGGATGTTCACGTTTTCAGGGAAAGTGGCTCCATGTTTTGAAAAAAGCTGCATTATGAAGTTTGAGATTTATATTATATTTATGGCACATCTTATGACACGTGTTTATTGGCTGGTTGCAAAGCAGAAATCTGATTACTGTCTGACTCATGGAGTTTCCCATTATCTGATTACTCAAGTGCATATAAACGTGTTGATCAGATTACTGACAAAATCTGATTTTCTGCAGTTATAGGATGATTAAGCGCATGTAAACACACTGATTGACAGTTTTCCACTAAAAACGGATGTAGTTGCTCAGACGAGACACGTTTGGAGTACAAATTTTACATCTTCAGTGGGGTAAAAAGTCTGAGACCAGTGGTAAAAATCCCTCTATTGTGCATTATTTTCTAATTTAATACAGTTTTCCATTACAAACTGCATTATCAGCACAACAATCTGAATGAAATTTGAGTAAAATCCTGAAATATTTACATGAATGGTTTTGTTTTCAGTATGTCCCCCTTTTAGCTCAATGCCAGTGTTCACCAGCTGGCAAGGACTCCATACGTTTGCACAGAAGCCTCTGATCGTCTGATTTGGGTGACTACTGACTTCTATTGCTTGCTAGTCACGTAGCTGCAGTGCTACACTATTAGTTGTTGTTTTGGCGTACGCTCATCCTCTAAGCCATCATCTCACAACTAACAGTTTACCAGAGACATTTAAGAAACATAAAAACCTGAGCTGGTGTTGTTTAAACAGTGTCCAGTGTTTGTTCTGGCAGCAGGTCTGGGAAAAGAGCCCATTCTCATTACTCATTACAGCCTGACCCCAGACTGACCTAGGCTCATCCAGTACACCTGCCTGGAAGCACCTGCTTCTCCGCTCATTTATTCAGCTTTCTCCTGTAATTCGTACACATGTGGTGTGTGTTTGAGAGGAAGCTGCAAGAGCCCTCACCATCGTTAAGGTCCTGCAGCAGGTTCTCCTGGCCGGAAAAGTCCAGTTTGGCATGGATGTCGACGGGGACAGTGACCGCCTGGCCGGGTTTCAGAGGGAGACGAGAGAGAGCATCCTGCAGGTCCCAGCTCAAAAAGTCCCCAAATAACTTCTCTACAGAGAATGAGAGAGAGAGAGAGAGAGAGAGAGAGAGAGAGAGCAGTGTTAATCACAGAGCTACTCTGAAACAGCATGTGCTGTATATACTTTATACAAACAAATCTGGCTGTTAGATTTTAAGTACAGGAGTCCGGAGGAAAGTCGTTGCTTCTTCTGAGCCGAATTTACCAAAGAAAGCCCTCTTTAGTCTTTTCTGGACATAAAGAAAGCTCCTGTGTACGTCAGGGTGTGCTCGGCAGCCCTTGCATGTGAGTAAAGACCTTTGGGTCAGTTAGTTAGCTGATTGTGGGAATTGACACATAATATTAAAACAAGAACAGGCTGAACATCACTGGTGCTTTCTAATATTCCTGTGATTGAGTGAATTAGAATCAGTAAACAAAATGTCTAATATCAGCACTTCAAGGGCAGCAGCATCAAATGTAATCTGCATGCGTGTATCTATATTGGGGGTGTTTCAAGTTTGTTAACTCATTTTACCATAGTTAAAGTAAAACTGGCCGAAAACGTGCTTTCGGCTGATCCTGCTGGTGTGGGTTCACACCGGTTTTCTCTCTTTCAGTGAGGCAAAAAAAAAGAGAAACTCTTTCGCCTGCTACATGTCTACATAAATTCAGAAATTTCATTATAGCCTAAACTTTTCTCGCTATAACCAAATATTATTTCAATAAAATATTTTCTTCCTATAAAATAAAGAATGCAAAGTGCCACCTCACTACTGTTTGTTACTGCAGTACTTTAACACCAAATGTCTCACAAGTAAATTTAAATAAACAAACAAACAAACATTTAAAAATAACTCACAGAAAATGTAAAATGATCATAGGGCCTTAATAATAATAGTGTACTATGGGCATCAAAACCATACAGAGTTGCTAACAAATGGTAGCCAAACCCTGTAAGCCAGGGGTGCCCAAAGTATTTTGTCTTGGTGGGCCAATGTGCAATGTTTGTGGTGGGCTAAGGGTCAAAATAAAGCAAAAAGCTTAAAAAAAAAAAATCAAATAATTTTATTAAAATTTATTTTATAACACTATATTTATGTGATCATATGTGACTAAAATACTTAAAAACAACTTTTACAATAGCAAAGAAATAATATAATAAATACTTTATTATAGCATAATGTAGAAAAAAAGTATTACAGTACTAACATACGCTACAGTTAGCACAATATATAATTACAACAATACAAGTCTTTGCATATCTGATGAAATAAGCCCTCTAACCAATCACAGTGCTTTCTTGCCCTACACTGTGATCATCCTGACCAATCAGAGCTCCAGATGAGAGTTTCTGTGAATCAAGTCAACCGTTTAAGTCAAAATAATGCAAATCTGTAACCATCTCCCATTATTTATTCACCACAGCGCTATAATATAATATACTGCCAGGAGTCCCGCAATCGCAATATGCAGCAATACAGCTGCAATCCTGGCACTTTGGCCACGTCATGCAGGTCTAGTTTGCATAAGCACTGCAGCCAAACGTTAGCCTAAAGCGCAGCTCACTGACACACCGACCAGACTTTAACAAATCCAGGAGGAAAAGAGAGCGATGAGAAAGAGAGAGGACGAGTCAGCGCGGCTTCAGCACCGCGCCGCAACACGGCATCACGGACTGTTCTCTGAATAACTTGCCAAAAGTTTGCTGGAAGAGACAAACACAGTTATATTTCAGTGACAGAGAGCGAGGTGGTTATATATCAGGCAGGAGAAACACTACAGGCCGGGAACGCACAGAAATATCTGCTGTCAAAACACAACCTGGAGACAGGTAATAAAACCTAAAAATGCAGCCCAGAGAGAAGCTAAACACACACACACACACACACACACACACACACACACACACACTAAAGGCCGAGGATGGGGAGTCTGTACTGAGTCCAGTGATGAAGCCTAATCACACATCCACGTTTACAAGCTTTTGAAAAATGCAATCATTTGTTATGCTGGCGTACAAAAGAGAAGCTTGTAGCAACCTGACAACTTAAAGGCAGTGTGTGTGATTTAAACAACGAGTTTGGTTTAATGGCTGTGTTCATTAAATCTATCCCAGACACTGATTCAGCTCAGGCTTCATCTCGATCCGAAGAACTGGCCCTATGCAGTCGGCGGCAAACGTTCTCCAAACTTAAATATGGCTTCTTTTTTTTTTGCTAAATTAATTTTATCTGCTGAGTTTAACACTCAAAAATATAGACATAAAACATCAAATGTGCCATAACTTTTGAACAGGCCACATTTTATATGTTTTTGTGTCCCTAACATGTTAAATTCAGTAAATAAACAGTAATTGTGTATTAAAACGTGACAAGCTTAACACTGGAAAAAAACATAAAACATCAAATATGCCGTAACTTTTGACCAGGCCATATTTTTTTGTTTATGTTTGTGTTTTTATGTGTCTCCAATATGTTGAATTCAGTAAATAAACAGTAATTGTGTGTTTAAATGTGACAAGCTCACACTGAAAAAAAAATAAATAAAACATAAAGCATCAAATTTGCCATAACCTCTGAATAGGCCACATTTTATGTCATTTTAATTTTTTTTTTTTTGTGTTTTTGTGTGTCCCCAATATGTAAAGTTTAGTAAATAAACAGCACTTGTGCATTAAAATGTGCAGAACTGTGTTCTCCGTAAGGAAGTGTTAACTTATTTCCTAGAAAATCAACACAACAAGTGATTTGACCAAGGGCGCCCAAACTTTTACTAGGTTTGTAGACACCTCTAGCATTTCTTCTGCAATCAAAGGTATTGATAGCGCCTCTACTCTTCTGGGAAGGCTTTACATTAGATGTTGGAACATTGCTGCAGGGCCGCAGGAACAATCCTCAAATCTGGGAGTGCTGCGGCCCCCCAGCACCCCAGACTTCAAAACATTTAAAAAGCAGAACATTGAAGGAATTTGAGCTCAGCAAGTGTTTATATACAGTGCTGTTTAAAACTATCCATCTCAGTGTATTGTTGCTTGTAAAACACCATAAACATACAGAACAAATCCAGATAAGCATTAAAGCAGCTTTATGTGAGACTTGGTATTTTTTGCTCTTGGGCTCCCCCTACAGTTTCAGAGTGTATTTTACTTCTACACCACTGTCGTAAACACAAATCGTTCTGTGAGCCCCCCAGTGTACATGTGCATTTGTTGATGTGCTGAAGGAAACAGGATCTGACCCCCTTTCGCATGCATGCGGGTCACACAGGCGTATGGACACTTCAGATTACGCTCATGAATTCTATGTTTTTCATGAAGGGGAGTCGGATTTCACTGGGGGGTCCGAATTCAGCACAACACCTGCAAAGAACATCAGAAAAGAAAGAACCACAGAGTAATATCACAGGACTTTATCACAGGAGGTTGCAATCTTTCAAGGCGTATTTGGAGATTGACAAAGACTAACCAACTTCTTGGCATGAGATGAATTTATTTCTGTGCTTGCTAGCCTGAAACAGGACTGAGGTGGGAGTCCAGAAAAACTATAAAACTCTGTAAGACAGGTATGAGACTGATAAGGTTACAGCCTCCGTCACAATCATTCATAAATAACACTGGCAGGGATGAACACTGTGCTGTAGGATTTCCGTTTTCCTGTTCTTTGGTTTTATGGCAGCCTCTGCCAGGATGTCCATGCTGGGAATACTAAGCTACTTTTACAGATAGCTGAAGAATCACAGTTGTTGGGAGTGTAACGTGGCACTGTAAAGTGTTCTTGCGACAGGTTTTGTGCCGCTCCTCCAAAGTTACATAGCGCTATAGTAGGCGTTCCAGGCACAGAGTGGCAATGACAGAGACGCAGTTCTTCCTATTATAACTCAGGGTACCATGAAAATGATTTTGAAGCTGTTATTTTAAGGTAAAATTGTTCCATAATGTTGCTTTAATGCAGCAAAAAGTAACAAGAAAATCTGTATTTTTTCCCAAAAGAAAATATTTTTGTCCATCCTTCCACTGTGAGAAGACGACTCAGCGCTGTGGGTCTGAAAGGATGTGTAGCTGTGAAGAAGAACCTCACTGAGAAAAGGAGACGGACACATCAAACAAAGAAGCTGAACAATGGACTGACCACCCCAGAGTCCAGACCTCAACACCACTGAATGGGTTTGATTACTTCAGAAAATGATCAACCAGCTTCTAAGGCTGAACTTTGGAGGTGTGGAAAATATCCCTGCAGATTTCTCTGGCCTTAAACTGTACATGCAGGACATTGGAAGGCAGATCTATGACTTATTTCATCATCATCAACATCACATATAAACACTCAGAGGACTCGTGTAGGTTCACTAGTGGTTCTGGATAGTAAATAAAATGTCTATATTTGTGTTGTAGACATTGTGATGTCTGGTTCCTATCAGCACCACTGTGAAGACATCTGAGTCTGTAAGTTTCTCTACAATGAAACACTTCACACCAAACCACTCTGAATGACTCTGTTTACTTCTGAACAACTAGATTATGCAAAAATAATATAAATACAATAACAACAGAGGGTTCTCTGACTTTTGCACAGCACTGTATCTAATTAAAAAATGACACACTGAATTATGTGTTATTTCTTCCTGTTCTGTCAGACAAATACTCAGATTTGAGCCAGTGTGAAGGCAGCATTCGAGCTTATTTGGTCTATGGTGATCTGATGCGAACAATCCATGCTGCAGTGCTGCTGCCCCTACCCCCATTAACCCTCCACTCCGTCAGCTGAGGCTACGAGCTCCGTCTGAACGAAGAGGACAGAACGGCACCGTCTCTCCGCCACAGCTTCCTCTCATCACTCACTCACACTGAGGACAAACTCACTGGCGCTCTGACGGGGGAGAAGAATGATCGAGCGAAGCCGAGAGACCAAAGTGAGCGAGAGAGAAAGATTAAGACAGAGAGAAAGAGAGAAGCAGAATATCAGAAGCTAATTTTTCAGTTATAACACTTTCTCCCTGTATGTCTGCGCCTGACAGCAACACTGCAGTCTCTCTGCTAAATAATTCACACCC